GCAAATCCCCTTTGGATGTAGGTGCAAAAGCCATATCTTGTCCGCAGCCTTTTCTAGAAGTAGGTATTTACTGGTTGGCTTTGACCTCTTGATCTTGCTCGAGAGAGATGAACAGATCCAAATCCAGAGACACCCCTCGATCTATATTCAAAGAGAGAGAAGAAAATTCCACAGAGAAAAAGGAGAATTTCAATAAAATCTATTTTTCTAACATGCGTGTGGAGCAGATGTGGGCAGTGATGCTGGGGGGGGGGGCCTGGGCCCCATTTTTTGCACAGGGGTGGGTGAAGTTGATCACCTGGAGCAGCTGCCCTGGTTTTAACTCTTCCCTTGAGAAATGGCTGGAGGTTTTCTAGGAGAGTGGGTGAGCCCCATCCCGGGAATGAGCTGAGCCCTGGGGCTGCCTACCTCGGTCAGAACAAATCCTCAGGTCAATCCAGCTATTAAAAGAGAGTTTTTGTTGCTCTTCTGCCTTCCTGTGTGTTTGTGGAGCCACCCCAGGGCCCTGCACCCATCCCAGACCAGGGGCTGGATGTCCCCCGGGAGCGCTGGGCAGCCGGCTCCTCTCCCCCAGCTTCAGCCACATTCAGATTATTCCCACATCGAAACCACCAATAATGCAACCAAAGTGGCTCCTTCTTGGGAGGATCATGACCTTTATCATGTCCTTAAAGACTTGCAGCTTGGGTGCTGGGTTCAGTGTTGGGCCCCTGACTCCAAGAAGGACATGGAGGTGCTGGAGCGTGTCCAGAGAAGGGAACGGAGCTGGGGAAGGGTCTGGAGCACAAGTGTGCTGAGTTCCCTTGTGGCTGAGGGAACTGGGGGTGTTGAGCCTGGAGAAAAGGAGGCTGAGGGGAGACCTTGTGGCTCTGTGCAAGTCCCTTGGAGGAGGGTGGAGAGAGGTGGGGGTGAGTCTGTTCAACCAAGGACCAAGGACCAAGGGACAGGACAAGATTAAATGGCCTCAAGTTGTGCCCAGGGCAGTTGAGATGGGATGTGAGGAAGAATTTCTTTGCTGAAAGGGTTCTGAGGCATTGGAAGGGGTTGCCCAGGGCAGTGGTGGAGTCCCCATCCCTGGAGGGATTGAAGAGTCGTGTAGACATAGTGCTGAGGGACATGGGTTAGTCATAGGGGGCTTGTCAGTGTTGGGTTCATGGTTGGACTCAATGATCTCAAAGGGCTTTGCCAACCACTACGATTCCATGATTCCATGTTTACCCGGGTGTGTGGTGGGAGTGGGGACATTTACTGCACCTTTATTCCCATTCCCTCCCATCCTTCCTCAGCTCTGGACCAAGAGCAGGCACGGTGCCGTTTATTCCTTTTCTCTTGGCCAATCTCCCTCTTCTCTGGAGTTGGTGAAACAGCTTTTGTTTTATGGTAGAACGTTGGGTTTGCAGCAATCAAGACGCCTGCTGGGTGTGATTTGTTCTGACAGGCATCAGCTGGGGAAGGGGCAACGTTCCCTTCCACCCTTGGAAGTCATTAAACACAAAAAAGCCAATTAATCTCCGAGTTAAAACAATTAAGAGATGACATTGTGTGCAGGCAACACGCTCAGGGGCCTGGGCTGCAGTAACTCCCTCAGCACCAGCAGTGTCACTTACCTCTTCTTAATTATTTATTTATTCATTTTAATTTTTCCCTG